GCACTGTCTAGGCTAGAGCCATAAAGTGTACGATAAAGAAGACAGTGTTTCAACATTCTCCTCAGACACATGCAGTAGCTTTTGCTTCTATCCCCCATTTAACATGGGCAACAATGAAGTAAGATCAGTAGTTTTGTCGGGAGATAGAAGTCACAGCTCAAGTCCCCCTGTATTTTCGTCTTACATGTCTCGGGGGCACCATGGACAATGAGGAGATGAACCTAAAAGTAAAAGGCCGTGGAATATCACTTCCCAACTTGAGTCATGTGCCCGATCAGCAATCCCCGATGTGAGTCCCTGGGGAGGTTTTGTATGAAACAACGGCACAGCGAAAGCATAAGAACATATCAGACCTAAGGGCAATAACCTGAGCACTTCATTCTCCCCCGGGACTCAGTGCAAGGGTGCTCACAGTTTAGATACATATCCGACGAGTTCACAGGGACACGCACAAATGCCGTTTCGGCTTTTGCTTTACAGTGCTCATGCGATCCTCAGGGGAAAAACAAAGTCTCTCTCTCTCGATCTCTCTCTCTCCCCCCTTCAGTTGCCAGGGGAGAGTTCGCAAGCGAACCCGCGCTTAAGCGCCCCGTTACCCCCTCTCTCTCTCCTCTCTCTCTCTCTCTCTCTCTCTCTCTCTCTCTCTCTCTCTCGGGCATAGGGACCGGTCAGGGCCTCCGGGCATCTTGCCCACCCGATGTGTTGTCAGGTTTCAGGGGCGTGAAGAACGAGCGTATCCCATCTCAAGACTCTCTCTTTCTCTCTCTCTCTTGCTTGCTTGCTTGCAGGGCGTGTGGGAAGCAGAGCGCGGAACCCTGCCCCCCTGCGCGCGAGCGCTACGCCAGTGTCCGAGTTTGGTGTGAGACGTGTAGTGCGAGGCCAGGTTGGGTATAGCAGCATCAACCAAGTGACACCTAAGCAGCCTCTCTCTCTCTCTCTCTTTCACCTCTCTCTCTCTCTCTCTCTGTCTCTGTCTCTGTCGCTCTTTGCTTTGCTCTGGTGCTCTGGGTCTGTGGGTCTTCGCTTCGCTTCGCTTGGGTTAGGCTCCAGGAGCCCGCGCCGAGGCGCCCCCTTTCCCCCATTTTTTGGTGGAAGGGGCCTTGGGGCTGTGTCGCACGGGGTTTTTCCCCCCGGACGGTTAGGCTGGTAGAGTCTGCCTGTCGGTAAACCACCCCCTCTGAACACTATCGCGCATCCCGGCCTCGTCCCCGCGCTCTCTATAGCTCTATCCTTAGACCTATGACAGGCAGATCCCCCCCCGGTAGTTTACAGTGGCCTGGACTCACTTCCCCATTAACAGAAAACTAAGGCATAGACACTAGTTCTGGGAAGTGCAGCAAGGTTCATGGTGCAGACAGCTAGCCGAAAGTAAAAGGTAAACACAATCATATTTCTCCCGCTTTGTCGTTGTGCCCAGCTACTATGACGGTTGGAGACTTTCTCAGAAGACAGGTTTGCAACAATAACCGTGTGGATCACATGATTGTCTCCTGTAGTTGCGTGCTACTTTGGGAATCTGGGGCTCCCCCGGGTAAACACGACGAAGTAACAGGAACCGTGTGAATCACATGATTGCCCCCCAATTGGTACCCCCGTGCTACTGGTCTTGCTGTGATAGGTTGGGCCATCGTAAGTAGGCAGTATCGGTGAGCCATAGCGGTTTCCCCCCTAGCTGGGCCCGTGCCTATCATAGAAAGCCGCTTGCAGCCCACTCAGTCGGCCCAGCGCAGCGGCTGTTGGAGGTATCAAGGCATCATGGAGGCTTGGCTTGCTGTTTCCCCCTCTCCCCCTGGCGGCGGCAAGGTTGGCATGAGCTCCACTTCCGCGAGGTCTGCCAAAAAGCTGTCAGTTTCCAAGGCGGCCATGTCTTCTTGGTTGACCCCTGACAGTGCAAACCACTTGCGCTTGGTTGGGCGGGCATCTGCTTGTGCTCCCCCATCATCTTGAGCTCCAGTGGCTTCCCCCGTGTCGCCTCCTTGGGATTCTCCGTCTGCGTCTCATCGTCCACGGCCTGTGCTCCCCAAAGAGTGATTGCTGCCAGTTTTCCAGCGCATGTAGTACTGCCAGCACTGGTGCCAGGTCGCCATCCCCCATGAAGGGTGCAGCTTCACGTAACTCGGCGGCAGAGGCGCATGGTTGCCGACATGGTGGTGCTCGTTCGCGCCGTCCACTCTTTGCTCCCCCCTTCCAAGTTAATGACGTCGGCTGGGTGCACGTCCAGCGGCTGTGCCGGTGGGGGTTGTCCCCCGTGTTCAAGGAGCATGGTGGCTGGCGCGAGGTGGTCGAGGAGTTCATCCTACCATCGGAGGGAGGTTGCACCTTTGTCTATCGCCCCCCATGGTGTGCAGTATAAGTCCGTGGAGCATGTTGCAGGCGCCTTGGAACCGCGCTGAGGCACGTTATAGGACATGGCTGTTCTGTCCCCGTCACGTCTCCCCCTTGAGCTCTTCAAGGCCTTGTTCCACCATGCTGCGGAGCACACTGATGTCGGTCGCAAACTCTTCGGCTGTCAGGCTGTCTCCTCTTCTGACCGTTATGCTTGTGGCGCTTCTGTATGCTTCCCCGATGGCTGTGGGTTCGATCTAAGTGGGGTTGTGTCCCCGCGTCGTGCCTGCTGTAGCGCTGCTTTCGCTCAGCATCCTGAGGGCGTTGGCGCATATGTTGGTTATGACACTGCTTTCTGCCCCCTGATGTTTGCTGCTACCTCATGTATGAGCTGTATTTGGGCTACTGTTGCCTGTATGCCCCCTCGTAGTGCTGCTATGGTGCTCGCTTGCGCTGCTGCTGGAACGCCTGTGGAGCTGCTAGCTGGTGCTGTTCGTGGTTTCTCCCCCTCGGGTCTGCTGCGGCTGAGACTGCGGTTTTTTGCCATGCGCTTGATGTCCCTTCTGCGCCTTCGAACGAGCCCCGCGTTCTCCTCATCCGTTGTGGTGCCTGCGAGGTCACTGTTGTTGGAGCTGACTTGGCAGGTGTCAGGTGTTGTGCTTGTGGTGGTGGTGCTGGTGGTGGTAGGTCTAGCAGGTCCCTGCCATAGCTCCGTACGGTCGTGCTCGGTGTCCCCCTGAGGCCTGTCCGGCCCCAGTCTGCGGCTGTCGCGTGCGACTTCGTAGAAATGCCTCTCTTGTTGTTGTGGCTGCTCCTCTCTTGTGTTCCCCCGCAGGGTTCTGCTGTCGCGGAAGTCGTTGGATGTCTGGTGTGACGGTGTGGTTGGTGGATGTAGCCTTGCTGCGGTATCCACGGTGTTGCTGTGTGGTTGGGACGGGCTTGCTTTGGGTATTGCTTTCGGCTTTGTGTTGCGGGTGGCCACTGCTCTGCCTTTTTTGGTGGTGGGGACCTGTAGCCTTTTGGGGGCCCATGTCGCGGACCGCCTGCTGGTCGAATCATCCAGACTCCGCTGAGATTCCCCCCCACCCCATGGTACGGTATCCCCCCCTCCCCCCCCTGTGGTTCGCTGTGGTGTGGGCTCCCCGATCCCCTTTGCCCTGTGGTTGGGTTCAGCTGTGCCCCCTTCCATGGCTATTGCTGGTTGGGCGTCCGGCTGTTAAGGGTTTTGGCCTTAGGATGTGATACAGTTCGACTGGACTCCGACCTGCCCTGAGCTCCAAAGCCAATGACAGAGATGAATATTCATAATGACCACCAAGATGGTGGTCATGCTCCCCATCCGCACTCTCCTCCGGTCCCTTGCTCAAGAGTCCCGAATGAAAATCATTCAAATTCGTGCTCAAACTTACAACCCAACCGCAATTTGGCCTGGAATGACAACGGTCGATACAGTTTTCGCAAGAACATCACAAGCCAAGCACGGTTTTCAGACTAAATAAAGCAATGAGCATGCGGTGCCGAAGCCCAGAGCAACACAAGAGCAAAGGTACCACCAACAGCCACACTGGGAATAGCACATCAACATCATTGGGCACAACATCATCGCCATCATTCTCATCTGTATGTCGAAGGGGAGGGGAAGGGGAAGGGGCCCTGTGGTTCTCTGTCTTGTGGTTCTATGGATTGTTGGTTACCCCTCCTGCTCTCCCCGTTTGCTAAGGAGAGGTATGTTTTGGGGGGGAGTTACGTGGATGACTGTTGCTGGGACGAGAGGCCTGGGGGGGGGGGGGCATACCATGGGGGGTGGGGAAAGGGGGGGGGGCCTGCGACGCGGCGACGCGGCACCATGTACGCCATGCCAGGCTCTGTGATGAGCGTGTGATGAGGTACGCGTGTCCCACCGTGGTTTCCACCTCCAGTATTGCACCGTCCCCGAAGGGCGGTGCTGTCCATGGCTCCCCCCGAGAACATTCCCCGCTGGGGTTCATCCTTGACTTTGGTGGGGTTTGCCCCCCCCTGGCGTGGCTTCCACACGAGCTACCCATTTTCCTCGGCCGGCCGCGACCCACAGCATTTCTGTTCGGGCTTTGTGTGGTAGCTGTGGTGGGCCTCGTCGTTTGATGTAGCTGTCGCGGTTGGCTTGGTCGTCGAGATGTTGAAAGTATGCTGGCGCCCCGTCTGGTGTGATTCCCCCGTCTGCTGGCTGGCGGGCCTGACGGCCTGCTTCACCTGGTGGTGGTCCTCTGTCGCTGTGGTGTGGTTGGTCAGGTGGTTGTGGCTGCTGTGGTGGTCGGTCTCGCCTGTGTGCTGCTGCGGGCCGTCCTGTACACGGGTTGTGCTGGAGTCGTTCCTCATGGTCGGCTGCCGCTTGGCTGTCGCGCTTGCTTGTGCCTGCTGTCGTGGCCGTTGGCTGGGTGGTGGCTTCGGTCGGGTGTGTCTGCTGGGTTGGCGGTCTCTCTCTCTCTCTCTCTCTCTCTGTCTCTCTCTCTGTCTCTCTCTCTCTCTCTCTCTCTCTCGCTCTCTGTGCTTTGCTCGGGGTTTGAGGCAGGAGCAGTCCTCCCTCTCTCTCTCTCTCTCTCTCTCTCTTGCTCTCTCTTTCTCTGTCTCTCACTCTCTGAGGCGAGTGAAATTCCTGCATCCGGATCCCATGGTCTACCCCGGTTTGGGTCGCGAGCCGCTGCGAGTATGAATGCGCTGGAGACCCTCCTGCCAGCCAGCAGAACAGGCGTCGAAGGCCCTGGCTCGGTCGCTCTGGGTGCCCCACTTCTGAAGCAACGCATCCACCAAGAGGAGCAAGGGCACGCCCCAGGGGAGAAAGCTGGCAATGGCCACAGTCGAACAGATCACGGAGCAACGAGCTTCCGATGCCTAAGGAGAAGGGCCAGCAGAGGCAGCGGTCTGCAATCCAGCCTGCGAGCTCGCATGAGGCTCGCATGAGGCTCGCACACACAGCACGCAAGGCACAGCCCAAGCCAGTCCGAGTGGCGGCAGGCGCACGGTCACCTGACCGACCTGGCTCGGCCGAGAAGCCACGAAATACCACGAATCTGCCAGCATTTCCTTTCTTGGGGCTCCCTGCTGCGAAGAAGTCCTCCTTCTCAGGTTGGCTCTCGATGTCTCCGCTTGGCCTCAAAGCAGACTTCGATGAGAAGCTCTGCCGGCAATGTGGGCAGATTCAAGGCATTTGCGATGATCGGCGCAGCGCCATCTGCCCTGCAACAGTCGTGCCTTGGGAGACCAGCAAGTCTGCGAGTGCCGCATGCTTGGCCGCTTGGTTTGGTGAAGGGCCTAAACTAGATGAGCCGGCGCAGGTGGGATTCCAAGCTTTCTACGAGGCCACAGAACCCCGGCAAGCTGGATTGGATATGTACGAGCTGGCGTAATTACTGGTCTATCTACTGTCTTACAGTACTGTGAGGTCTTCCGTGCTCAGGGTCTGCTCTGGTTGACCGAGTCTACACACACGGAGATATGTGTACGCACGTGTATACTGTATACATATGTATAGAGAGACAGAGAGACAGACAAACGCACACGGACACACACACACACACACATGTGTGTGTGTGTGTGCCAGCATACATACATTGACATGCTTGCCTGATCTTGCCTGCGTGCATGCATGCGTAGGGTACATACTAAGTACGAACCGAAGCGTCCGAACTCAGCCGAGAATGGCGGGTGACTGAGGCCCTCGCCAGCTCAAGTCATCGCAGTGATCCTGGATCCTATGTTTCCGTTTGAGGTGTCGTGGCTTCTGGCATCGCTCCGGGTCGGACGACAATCACGCTGGAAGTCAGACTCTGAAGTGCAAGCGGCACTTTCGCACACGGAAGGTAGCGACTCCATGCTTGTAAAGGCAACGGAAGCGACCGAAGCTGCGCTGGCTGAGAGTTCCTTTCAAGCCTTGTCAGCGGACAAACTTGCCATGGCAAGGGAGGAAGCTCCGCTGCTCCGCTTTGCCATGTGCAAGTCTTCTAGTCACGGTCTAGTCCGACGCCTGGTGCGGAGGTTCCACGCGCAACGCCGAAGCTACTGGCTCTTCAGGACTGGCGGAGGGATTTCCAGTCTTCGCTCACTGTCGCATCCTTCGGAAACTAGACGGCCTTATCTTGTCTGCGCCCACTTTTGCGCCCACCTCACTCGTAGGAGCACGAACCACTGACCACTGCGGCGCTCTTCGGCTTCGTCTGACGTCTGACTTGCTACCAAAGCGCGCTGCAACTCCCCGACTACCATCGTCTTCCGGCCGATCTGAGCTGGCCTCCCCGAGCCGAGACCGAGACGGACACCAGCGCTTCGGCCTCGCGTCGGCCTTGACAGGTACTCCTTCAGCTTCGCCCGGGGCGTCGCACCAGCCTCAAAAGCAACTGAGACAAGACACTTTGAGGCGCACCTCCTTAGACTATTTGGCCCCCGGCCCCGGCAGTCTCGGAAGCAACGTCTCCAGGAGAGGCTCCTGCTGCACAACTAACTGCCTTGCAGCTGGTGAGAAGCTGTAGACCGGCCTTCGACAGCCTCACTATGCGGCTGTGACCTCGGCAGCTTCAGCACTGAGGTGCATCGCGACACAAAGACGAATAAGCTTAGCCGGAAGGCGACCACAAGGCCCACAGGTCTGCCGGCCCACCATCAGACCTGACTCGCTATAAAGATATGAATCTCCCGGGCCTTTCGCACTCGCAGCGTGCCAAAAGCTAGGGACAGCGACTGGATGCGCTCGGGAGACTCCTCCACCGAATCTTCGGATGTCTGCTTCGGCAAGGCGCCGCTGGACTCGCGGGAGTCAGCTCTGACTACCGTCATCTCGGCGTCCTGACGGGGGGCAAGACTGGAGCGAACGACGAGAGGAGCGTGAACTTCTAGAGCAACAAGCTGCCGGCCTCGGACAAGCGTTGCAGCAAACTTTCGGCGGATGCTTCCCACGGGTCATCCTCTGGAGAATAAGCCTTCTGCTGCAGCGTCAGATCACAGAGTTAAAAAGTCAGTGGGGGAGAACCGTGACCAATGCCACAGTGTCGAGAGGCAGGCTGCTGCACTGACGAAGCGTCAGGACATGCAACTTGCGAAAGAAGCTGAGAAGTTGCAGGCTATTGGAAGACAGTTAGCTGGCAAAGCCAGCGAGTCATGCCTTCGGAGCATAAGCATAAGCCCGAATGAAATCTGGGACTCTCAATGCAGCAGCCCTACGCAATGACCGACTGCAACGCTGTGCTATGGTCCCGGCTGCCTGCATCATGAGCTTTCGCCGCAAGCTGCGCAGAAGGGCATCTGTTGAACCATCAAGCCTCAAGACAGCGGAAGCAGACTGTCCGGTGAGCAGCCCAAGTTCAAAAACCCTACAGTACTTCTACTCTCATGTAAGCTCAGCGCATTTCGAGCTGCTGCAAGCCTGCTTCTATGGCATCCACCTCGCACAGCTTCTGCCACTCCGCTGTGACGCGGCATGCAATGCGCTAGGAGTTGATCTGCGACTGGCCTCTTGAACAGTCAGCTCCTCCGATAGAGCCCGCACATGCTTGATGCCTTAGCTGCACACATCCTGTGGCACATCGCGGGATGTGTGACTTGGGCGAGGGCAAGCTCTTACGAGCTTCTGGTTCTTGATCTGCAGCCTGGTTTAGTCGAGTGAAAGTCAGAAGCACGAGGCGGCGACGCGATGCGAAGCGGCTGAGGTGTCAGCTTTCCGAAGGCCTGTAACGTCAAGCCCACTCCCTGACCTGCGCGGCGCTCATCTCTGCTGGCCTTTCCCTAGCTCGCATCCCCCTTCCCCGCCCCGTCGCTGAGAGTCTAGCCAGAGAAAAGAGGCATTTTCTGCACGATCTCCTCCGCCATCAAATAAAAAAGGATTTCGGATCCTTGTGTCGAGGGGAACAACTTGCATTGACTGCTGTGTGAAAGAGACACGGTCGAAAGAGAGCAAGTAGGCCCCCGGCGCACATCCAGCCTAGCAAACGCATGAGCTGTTAGTGCCAGAGCCTGGCAGGAATTGCAGCTGCGCTGAGCAAGCCTTCACCATGGTCTTTGTCGTCTCGTCATCATCATCATCATCATCATTATTATTATTATTATGATCACCAACACCATCATCCTCATCATCCACATCCACATCCTCATCCCTATCACCATCACCACCACCACCATAATCATCATCATCATCATCGCCTTCATCATCGGCATCATCATCACCATCATAATCATCATCATGATCATCGTGATCATCATCATCATCATCAACATCATCATCATCCGTATCAGGCAATGGCGAACGTTGAGATCATCATCGTCATGTCGCACACTTCGCCGTTGGTGTCTTCGTCGTCCTCATCGCCCTGCTCCGTATCGTTGCGTTGTTTCTCGTGTTTCGTCGTTTTCGCCCTCGAAACTGACTGGAGAGCGCCATTGGAGCAAAGTGCTATGCTCCTGCAACTTGCTCGGGAACTCTTCCGAGCCCTTGCCGCAAAAGCACGTTTGGATCCCTGCCTCGACAAGCTGAGAGGCTGAGAGCATAAGTAGGTTTTTCAAGTAGTCTGTGCCTCTAAGATCTCTCACAATCACCAGGCGGGGGGGGCTCCGAGCGAGCCTTGGGGAGCCTTCAGGTACCGGCACCTTTCAGGCAATACTGAAGCAACCCACTGCCTTCCTTCAGGACAATTGCAGCACTTGGGCAATTGCGCAGATCTCCAATCCAAGGACTGGGTCCCTTCACCGGCCCTTCACCTCACACCTGACATGATGCACCTGTGCTTCACGCAGATTCTCACTGCTTTGTACATGGCACAGCGTCAATATCAGTCTTGGCTTCACGAAGTCCTTTTTGAAACTGGGCTTGGCGTCTCTCAACTGCGCACTCTGAGCGCTGCCTGCTGCTTAAGGGGCCTCTACTTCACTGACAAGAAGATCGCAACTCTGGCGCTGTAGATGCTCTGAAACGCAAGCACTCCAAAGCAACTGCAGGTACATGAACTGGTGTCCCAGTTCACTTCACCGCCCTATGACCGGCGTCTTTGTTAGCGTGAGTGTGGTCACGGGCGCAAACATGCTCCGTCGCTCAAGTGCACAGATTCGCATAGATCTCACAAACGAATCCGTCACTCCAAAGAAGCTTGAGTGTCAGAAAACCAGCTTTGGTGAAACTCAACAAGTCCATGCAAGTCCTAGCTTGGCTTCTCTCAACTGCCCGCTCTGACGGCTGCCTACAAGGAAAGCACTCCAAAGCAGCTGCGTCAATCTCAATCTTGGCTTGACGACGTCATCTTAGAAGCTGGGCTTGGCGTCTCTCAACGCACTCTGACGGTTCCCTACTGCTACAAAAACACTCTCATTCCTTTGCAGACAGGAGTTTCACAAACACAGAGACCCACCAAACACAAACACACACAGCAGAGCAGAAGCAGGCTCGCAGGCCTGGGGTGTGAATTGAGACAGCTGCGGCCTGGGTGAAGTGGATCCGACCATCGCGGCTGGGATAAGACTAGTGGCTAGCGCCGTGCGTTGCAACGAGGCTCCCGCGCCATGGCCTTGGCGACCTGCGTGAGCAACCTCACCTTTCACATTGTCAGCCTTTCAACACCACAGTCACCACAGCCTGAGCTTCCGCTGGGAGTGCCACATCCCTCTGTTGGAGCCGAGAGCAGGAATGCACAAGGAGGCACAATGACCTGCGCTCAGGAAGCTCCGAAGCTCAGCTCTGCGTGGCCCTTGACCAGTCTGCTCAGGATCTCGCTGGGCTTGAAACTCTGAGATCCTCTGGCTGACGTTCTGCAGAATGCCCTCGCACATGAAGCACTGAATACTAACTCGAGGCAGGCAAGCTGGCCTCTGACAGATCCGGGGATCGTAAGGGTTTCCATCTGCCAGCATTCATGAAATCTTGCCCGATTCAATACTCTCACGGGCACTCGCCTGGCGCAGGCGTGAAGAAGTTGCATTAAGCTGGGCGGACCAAGAGAGTCCAACCTTCAGTCAAACCCTGAGCACCGGATGCTCAAAGGCTCGCCCCGAGGACCGGGCCCAGTTGAAACTTGCTTCGACAGCACAGCCACCGCGCGCAGCGCCTGAACGCTCAGACAGGCGTGGACACTCGCAGATCCACGTCACGCAAGGCTGGTCACAAATTTTGCGCGATGCCAACCAATGAGAAGGATATCCCTCGCGAGAGGCAGTTCCGTCGCCAAGTCAATCCCGCTGGAAAATAGCTGGACAGGGAAGATGTTTGTTGGTTGCTGCTGCTTCGTACTCTCGGTGTCTTTCTGGTGCGAATTGCGCCGTTCGATCTCTGTTACATCCTCACTACGGACTGTCGTTACGTGCAGAATGTTCGCCCCCTGCTCACATGTACTTCTTCCCGGAACAGGATGTTCGACCCTCATCGTCTCTTTACAGGTCGGACTTGTACAGTCAAGACTGCAACACGCTACTGCCGCTACTGCTACTTTTACCCCAAACCCTTAAACTGTGTCCGCAAAGCTGAAACGCAGGGGTGGGGCGAAGACAAGGAGCGGGTTGTGCGAAAGGCCAAAACCCCAAAAGGAGCGAAAACCCAAGCCCTAACCGGAGTCAGCGGTGCGAAACAAAAAGCTCTGCAGGGAGGAGCTGGTGCGAAAACCCAAAACCCTAAACGGAGTGGGTGGGTGCCACAACCCAGAAGCCTAGACCGGCAGAGCGTGTGCGAAAGATTGCGAAAGCCCCAAACATTCGATTCAAACGGCTCCAAATTCCTGAAACTTATCCCCAAAGAACGGAATCAGCGATGCGAAAGCAAAACCCCTCCAAGGAGCGGCTGGCATGAAGATCCAAAACACCCAAAAACGCTTCAAACACTGCTTCAAACGCAATGGCTGATGTCACAAAAAGTGAGCGGGTGAATTCCCCAAACATAAAAGAACTTCAAAGTGGTGAAAAAGTGAACAAGAGGGGGTAAAACAATAAAAGGAGTGAGTTAAGCACAAACCCGAAATCTCAAAGGTTACTAAATCCAGGAAACCCGTTAAACCCTTGGCCAACAGAAAATTGGTGAGAAGGAAAGGCATCACGAAGACCCGAGACCCTAATGGTAGTGAGATGTGCCAAAAGCAAGATCCTACAAGAAGCGGCCTATTCCTGAAAACCCTAAGCGGCCCTAAACGCAGTCAGCGTGCGAAAACCAAAACTCACACAAGGAGTAGCTGCACGATAATCCAAAACCTCAAACGGAGCGGGTGGGTGCGAAAACTCCAAACTTCAAAAGGACTCCACTCCCTGCGCGGGTGAAAAAGTGAAAAGGAGGGGCAGCACGAAGACCCAAATCCCTGAAAAGAGTGGGTCATCGGCAAAGCCGAAATCCTCAAAGGCGTCCAAATCCTGAGTGGGAGTGTGGGAAAGACCCAATCATTGTCAGGACTCCAAAGGGAGTGGGTGAGTGGCTGACAAGGAAGGAAAAACAAAGACCGAAAACCCTGAAGGGAGCGAGTTGCGTGCAGAGCCGAAATCCTCAAAGGCGACTAAATCCGGAAAACCCTAAACCATAAACCCTGAACGGAGCCAGCAGGGCTAAGCCAAAGACCCTTGCAAGGAGTAGTTAATACAAACATCCAAAGCCCTAAACAGAGTGAGTGGGTGTCACAACCCAAAGCAGTGTGAGTGTGCGAAAACCCCGAACACTGACAAGACGCAAAAGCTTTTGCTGCACTTGCGTCTAAGGCCGCGACCTGTTGACCGTGCTAAGATACAGCCCGATTCGACGAACTAACGAAAAGGATAATCATTGACTGTGCGGAGTAATGCGGAACTGCGTAAGGTCAGGCAACCCAAGCCGGCTTGCAACATGACGTAAAGGTGATGTCGAATGTTCTTGCAGAGCAGATCCGTAAAATCCGCTGAGGTTTCTCATGCCAAAAGATGCTGCTGCTCGAAGGTGTTATGCTGGAATCAAGGAGAGTGAATTGGGTTTGCAAAGTTTCACAAAGACCTGAACCGAGAGATAAGAATGCTAGCGGAGATTCAGTCATTAACAAACCTTAACTGGACTCCAAAGGGAGCAGGTGAGTGAGTGGAAAGGAGAGGTAGCACAATACCCAAAAACCGAGAAACCCAGCCATGCGAAACCAAAAACCCTTGCAAGGAGCTTTTGATGTGAAAATCTACAACCTTAACCGGAGTTGGTGGGTGTCACGACCCAAACCATAAACCAAGTGGGTGTGTGCGAAAGCCCCCAACATCAAAAGAGCTCCAAAGGAAGGTGAAAAGGAGGGGAAGCACACAGATCCAAAACCCTAGTTGGAGTGAATTGTGCAAAACAAAACAAAAACAGCCTGACAAGTCCCTTGAAACCCTAAACCCTACAAGGACACACGAAAGAAGGAGAAGCCACACGAAATCGCTTTAAGGCCACACGAAATCGCCTTGGGCCAGACAAACATCTGCAACAAATCCACAACTACGCGGCTAATTTCCGAAAACCGGAAACCCTACACGGAGGTGGCGGGGCGAAACAAAAACCCACAAGAAGTAGTTGGTGCGAACATCCACCTAAACGAAGTGGGTGGATGCCACAACCCAAACCCTATCCCAAACTTGAACAAGTTGAGGCAGCACGAAAACCAAAACCACCCACTTCTCAAAACTCCTACGAGGAGTGGGTTGTGCCAAGAGCCAAGCTCCTAAGAGGAGCAGATGGTGTGAAATTCGACAACATAATTCCAGAGAGCCCTAAATTGTAAACGGAGTCAGTGAGTCAGCGGCGCACAACCGAAAAACCCTACAAAGAGTAGCTGGTGAGAACACCAAAAACCCTAAAAGGAGTGGCGTGGTGCCACAGCCCAACACCTCTCAAAGACAGGAAACGACATGTCGTATGCACTCCTTCGTCTGTGCGATATGCTTGGTAGGCAGACCCCCCTTCTTCGACTTTGACTCTCATGTTCTGGTTAGAAGCCGAGCGGCGAGCAGGAGCCGATAGTCAGATCAGTGGAGCTACGAATCAAATCACTTGGGGATTGCAGATGCGCTATGCCACCGCTCGGATCCGCATATGATCCGGACAAAGTCGCAAAGCAAAGTTCAACATTCGACAAGCAATGTTTCTTTTGTCACTGAGCCCAAGCGCGGTTCCTCTAAACCAAGATCTGAAGGAGTGAGTGGTTGTGAAGTAATCTGAACCTTAGGAGGATTAACTTAGAGGGAAGCCGGTCTGAGTTCAAAGCACTGCCTCGACGTCTCCCCACTGTGGCCGTCGAAGTCGACCCTTGGTTGGGCTGTGCTTGACAGATCTCTTCGTTGCTTCGATCTTCTGCGGGCTGAGGGTCTAGTGCATTGAAGACTAGACCTCAGCTTTAGGCAGAGACATAAGACTGGTAGCGAGGCACGTCGAGGCACGTGCAGAGCGTTGCTGGCGTGGCTTCTGAAAGAAGTGGCTCCTTCGCAGAGTCTTGCAGCAGCTGTCCAGGCACAGCTGCTTGCTTCACTCGGCAAGGCCTCTGCAAGGCTTACAAGAAGACTTCGCAGAAGCGCCTCTCAATCACGGAATCCACGCATCGCAAAGTCATGTACAGAGAAACTGCAACGTAATCCATTGCCTCGTCCAGAAAGTCGACGGCGCTTAGTGCATTGAGCACTGTGCCAACATCCTGCAAAAGCCAAGGGTTCGGGAGCCCCAGCATCACGACGAGGAACGCGGAAGACGAACGCATCAGCTACAACTTGTAGCACCACGTAGGGGCAGAAACACAAGCAATTCGTTGGCATGTACATGAACCGGAGCAGCTCAAGGTTCCCGAGCAAAGTAGCAGATCAAGTGGTGCTCGGCCACAAAATACGGTCCAAGACAGAAAACTGCTGAGATTGCCATTGCAGTGCAAGCTGTTGGAACCCAACAGGCCTCTCCGCAATGCGTCTTGTTGCACTGGCTTCTCTTGTTTGAACATGACAAGCACCCACTGTTTGCTTCCTGCCTGTGCCTGAAAGTCCAACTGCGCTTGCAGTAACCTGAGTTGCCATTGATGTCAACTACAGGAAGGTCCAGGAAGTCAAATTTTCGCGCTGCCAAGACACCACTCTGCGAGAACCGGCCACAAGCGAGTGTGTCCTTCCAATCTCAATGCATGTACGGCATTGGGAAAATGCGATACTTGTAGAAATTCACAACATCTCAGCAGCACGCGAATCTTGAAGTGCGCAAATGCATTCGCCAGAAGGAGCAAGGTTACCTGCGCAACTTTGTAGGATTGCCGGCAATGAGCAATGCAACAATTTTCAGGCGTGAGAGCATGACTCACAACGACACATGGACGGAGGCTCCAGCCCAGATTCTGAGCTTGACACATGATTCAGTTCATGTGGTCGACGAAGAACCTCGCCGTTGGCTGCGTGGTGTGTCTGCAGGCAGCCGGGAATCATGAAGCCTCGTCCGCGATATCATCGAAAAGGAGATCGTCTCGGATGTCCATGCGAGCATAAGCATTCGCAACCTCAGAGCCACGAAACGCACAACACTGCATGGATTCCCGTTGCATTCAGTCCTCAAGCTCCAAACCACTCCTAGCTGGAATCCTTCAAAAAGGGGAAGCTTGTGCGGCCTTAGACCCACAAGAAGTCCACAGCAGACTGAACAGGGGATTTCTCGGAACAGCACATTTCAGTGGCCATCCGCCGGAACAGCACCTGTTGCTTATTCGCCTCTAATCACGCCTCCAAGGCTGGCTGCAGGTTGCATCCGCAGCTCGAACCTCATCATGCTCCCGCAGTTTCGAATATGCGCCGCAAGTCCGACTGATGTCAGCAGGTACAAACCTCAGCGCCCACTCGACAATACGGTGTCTGCGTGAGGCCCTCGTGCAGCAGCGTCCAGGGCCGAACATTGAACCCTCTTAGAGCCGCGCTGCGGTAGTCGAGGCATCATGCGCTTGCTGAAGGATTTCAACATCTGCATCCAAGTCGATTTGATACTATCATCACAGTCAGACTCACCAGTCACGTCGCTCTTGGTCTGGTCACTATCGTTTCCAATATTGGCCCTTATGTACTAGCTATTACTAGTATGATGCACCCGATTATTGTTACGATTGCTACCCGTGTTACGACCATCACTGCTGTATTACGACTTTTGTTTCCATTATGACAACGACGACGACTACTTCTAAAGGTTTCTAGTGTTACTGGTAATTGTTACGACTATTACGAGTATAATTACTGTTACTTTAGCACTTTGTTCATGGTGACTCTGTCTACCTTGTTGCTGTTCTTTACCAATGCCTTGCTAGACGAGTTCTTTCGTTCGTTATGTGTGCCGAGTTCCTTTGTTTGGCAGTTTCTTTGGTTCATTCGATCTTTATTGTTTCGTTATTTACCTGTTTAGTTCTCTCTGTACCCATTTAATTCCAGATTTAGTTGTCTTTACTTGCACATGTAATGTCGTCCCTTCTTCAGGTACTTGTATCGTCCTTGATCCATTTCGCTCGTTCGTTCTTTCTGTATTCATGTGTTTCGTTCTTTCTGTCTTTGTGTCGTTCGTTCGTCCATCTTGCGGATTGTATTCCTTGCTCTGTTGGTTCTTTGCTTCTTTCGTATGATTTTCTTAGGTTCGCTCCTTTCTTTGAGCAAGGAGGGTTCACGGGCAGAAGACGGGTAAGCATATACATATCTCTCCATTCAACTTGCGATTCGATGCAAGGCTACGCAGGAGAAGGATGTGTTTTGCAGGTGCTTTTAAGCGTTCTTTGTTCTGCGAGGCACGGCCAGTTTTGATTCGTGATACTGAAGAGGGTTTGGAGCTCCCCCGAAGTCCAACTGTAGCTCCTGCATGAAATGCCGATGAGCGCCGGAAAGGAAGCGACAGGTCCTGCGCCACCCCCTCCACCCAAGATCGGCGGCCTTCTCATGCCGATGAGATGCCCGAGCAAAGGCATTCAGAATCAACCCAAACCTTTGGAGGCATGTGCTGTAAGGGGTGGGTGCCCTGAGCCCCTGGTCCGAGCTGGTCACTGGTTTGGCTGCAGCTGTGCAGCCAGCTCTTCCGCTCTGTCCGCATATCTGTCTAGCCTGGACACCACAAGCATCGTCGATGCGCGGCAGTGATTGCTAGCAGGCCAAGACACAACTCTGGCATGTGGAGGCCGAAGGCCTGGGACACTCTCTGTGCAGCTCAACTTCACCTCATGTCTGTGAAGCGTCTACTAGGTCGCCGGCGACCAAACGGTCGCAGTAGCGTGTCAAATTCTCTGTTTTGAGAATCTGGCGCACGACAAATTCCCAAGCTCTTTATTGGACAGCCTCCAGCCTCCGGCCTCTGGCGTGTACATCTGAGACTCGATGATAGGCTGGGCCGCGGTCTCAAAGGCCTGACCCCGGCTTGAAGTTCAGCACGCATTGCGTGGCGATGAAGCTGGACTTCAAAGGCAAGTTGACTCGCGTTCAGCTGGTCCTAGATGTGGGAAGCAAGACACATAGAACGTGATCGTTACGTCACTGGCAACATCTATCCGCCGCAAAGCACACCCTGCACGCATATGATCGCATATGCATGCGTGCAGACATTGATTGCCAATCCGTACTTCTTTGGTTGTTGAACCGCTGCGAGTCTCTGGTTCCAAGGAATGCGTCGTCGTGCTAGTGTGCTGTCCGAGTTTTTCAACGGCGCTGACTGCAGATTCAGCCACCTCGCGGTGCGGCCGTTGTTTCTGTCTGTCATAGATCTTTTGCACCTGAAGCACCGAGACAGGCGTCATCCGCGTTACTAAGGTCGGGGAATGATGCTGCCTATGGCTCTGTTGCATCCATGGTGAATAAGGTCGCCGCGGTCTTCTTCCCCTGGATGCAAGAAACATAAGCGCTTCGGTTCACTCGCCATGAGTGCCGTCCTTGACCTGATAGGAGAGGCCGCGGACACCACAGACTCCCGCTTGGCCAAGCCTTGCCAGACTGAGGCTTTCGGCGACGTTTCCCCTCCAGAAAAGGCACCTCTTCGGGAACGGAGCTCCGAATGCCGCGCAGCGGCCTCCAAGCAACACCGACGCTTGGCCGAGGCGAAGCTACAAGCACAAAGCCGAGATGCAGAGCTTGTGCAGCATCGCTGACGTGTATGCCACATGGCAGAGATGTGCAGAGAATGCAGTCCTACAGTGGTGGTCGTGTGATCAGGGGGTGCATCGGTGCTTTGCGAGATCCGCGAGCTTTGCATGCGACGAGCTTGTCTTTGGCTTGAAGAGGCTCCAAACTTGCTTGAGCCGTCATCTACTGCATCGGGTCTGCAACCCAAGGCTGCGGCTGCTGCAGCAAGCTCACGACGGCAAGCACGGTCTTAAGGCGTCAAGCGCGATTTTCGCTGGTCGGGCGACGCCCGTCTTACGGTGCGTAGCGCCGTCTGCAGAGTAGCCTCCAGGCCTGGGGTTGTCGGTGCACAAGGGTCAAGGAGCAGCAGACGATGTCAACGTTAGTGTTCCGCTGACTGGTTCAGTAATCCAGGCTATGCCTGCTCACGAATGTGCTCATAGCACTTAGTAGAACTACTTCGATCGGTAGCTCTAGACGTGGAGCCGAGCTTGCGGAACTCAAGAATCGCTTGGGAGAAAGATTCCAACTTGTTGTGTAGAAACCAAGGCTCCAAAACGGGAATTGGGCGACATTTCAGCTCACAATTCTCTCAGGGGGCCAGCCCGGTGCGCAGGACGGTCATAGCATTTATCAGACTTGGCTGCCATGCGCAAATGTCCAAAAGCAGATACCTTGTTTTGCTTCGGTCATATAAGAACAGTTACTGTAGCCTGGCAAACGGTGCCTCCGCTACCGCTGACGCAAGTAGCGACTGGGACCTGAGACTGTGCTGCGACAAACACCAGCTGCTGCAAGGGCAAATGGGCCCCGACTGGCTCTGGAGCCTGGCCAAACGCTGCTCGACCTGAGCCGGCGCCTCTGAAACTCCGAAGCTGGGCAGGGACACGGCGCCTCTTCCCGAGTCGCAGCTTCTACCTGCAGAGCTAGAGCCCAGGGCCTCGGATGCCTCGGATGCCTCGAGTCTAGGGTTCGGGGCACTTGCAACCATGAGGACTCGGCAGTACCACTGATCGCCAGGTCATCTTCGAACATCACAGTTCCCATGCTTCCGGCGCGTTCCTTGTCCCAGTGGTGTGCAGAGAGATCGCAATACACGCGCAAGCGCTCCTGGAAAGAGCGATCGAAGCTTTCTTGCACGTTGAAGCGCCGGGGATACTGCAGGTGCAATTCGCTCTGTAGACCCTTCGAGGTCATGTCCGCAAATCACAACACGGTGACAAGGTCTGGCGGCCTCTCCAAAAGACCTGGCAAGCGGCCGCTGCAGCACAGAATACGCTCACATCCCTTCTGGCAGGGACAACATGCTGGCTTTGCGGCACCATTGCGCTGACACGCAGCTGACAGTATGCCGGTGGTCTACGGAACCTGTTTGACCGCTTGAGGCCATGGTACAAATTTAGCGCTATACGGTCACCTGAAATATGTTAATCGAGGGGATGTGTAAGTGCGTGACCAATGCTGAAACAGCATCTTCGGAATACAGCTGAAGAATCGACTGAGAGCATACAGCACACGGGCTCCGGTACATTTGCAACTACGCAAGCGTGGGACGCACCAGTCTTGCACAACATGGTACATGGTCTTTGAACCACGCAAACGCGATTGCAGCTGCTTTTTCCCAGCAGCGAAGCGAGCAGCCTAAAACCCGCCAAGGCAAAGTCGTGCGTAGTTTCGCGGGCCTAGCCCGTAGCTGGCCTAGGCCTAGCCGACAGCTTCAGTCCAGGAAATTCTCCGTGGAGTCGTTCTCTTCTTCGCTCGAGCAGCAAGCCCACGTGAACTCAGGAGACATAGGAGCTGAATCCTGTGCCCCTGGAAAAGCAACACCAGGCTGCTGAGGCCCAAGCCATACCCACAGAAACAAGGAGTAGCACAACACCAGTGCCTTAGCAACTACTAGTTGCACTCTCAAGATCCGGGCGGACCGGTAAGTCAACAGACAAACCCGCCCCAACGGCTGCATCACCATGCACATCCTGCATGCTCCCCCCAAGGCACCCGTGCTTCCTTCTGCACCCCGGCGTCCCCACAGGCACGCAACCGTGCACGCAACTCTGCATGCCGCTGCACCTCGACAGCCTCGACAGCACCCCCGGAGGTAGACGTAACCTCGAAAGCCTTGGTCCATAGCCGCCTCCGAAATCTCCCACCGCGCCTCGTTCAGAAAAGCCCATGGCAGGCAACCCCCGGAGCGACTCGCGGCTTCGGAAAAACCCTCACACTGCAATGGGCAACCACCAGCCAGCTAAGAGCGAGAACTGCTGAATGCTACGGTTGGAGAAACCTTGAAGATTTTTGGACTCTCCGGCAACGAAAGCTTAGCCTCAAGCTGCCTAACACCAAGCCAAGATGTCGCATTGAGTCCTGCAGCTGGCTGGCAGCTGGCACTGGGCTAGGGGCGGTTGGTAGAGAGCCTGCTGACATCTGCCGATCATCTGCGCACTGTCCTGTCGCTGATGTTCTTCAACAGGACTGTCTAGGCCTGCCCAGAGCAACCACTCAAGAGCAACCGTCATGTTTCTGACAGCTTCTACCATGCTGAGGACGGCACTTGTCGAAGCTTGCACCGTGAGGTGGGTGGAATGATGATGCTCTGGGCCTCTCGTGTTGAGGTTGGTTGGATGCACATGAATACCCTTTCTGTTACAGCGGAAAGATGCGTCTAAGTAGACGAGTCTTAGACCGGCACAGTTTGCACCTTCCACCCCCAGCTTTGAGGATGCGGTGTCGAAGACCAAATGCTTGTGCATGAAGAAGGAGATCTGGCTTGGTGCATAGCCCGGATCCACTGCGGCGAGGTTTCCGTTGAAACTCTCAAGTCTGGTTGACAGGCGTTGCGAATCCCAAGAAGCTGCATGGAGCTAAAATTGTGCGGGGCTCGCGACTGACTGCAGAATCATCTGAATCACGATACAGAATCACACAGTAACTCCTGCAACGTACGACATGGCGTGAGGGATTGCAAAGGTCCGGTTTCCAGCGTGCGAACTGTACTCGAGGAATCTCGGTCTGGGGTCTGGCATGTATGGCACTCTGAACCGATATGATATATCGGGGATTGCGATTTGATGCTGCCCGGCTGAATGCCATGTCAAGCTCCCACTCGGCCACTAGGCCACTGACTCACTGGCAGAGTCGTAACAAATGCTCATCGGCGCGGCTGTGCGGAGTTGGCGTCGGGTTTGGCCTTGCTGTGTTGCTCAGAGTCGTTACTGCTTTCCTCGCTCATGTCCAAAGGCTTGCAGTTCAACAGCTTCGTCTGAATGACACCACCACAGCCCATCCCGAAGCCTCTTCCCGCAAGATGTGAGTTGCCAAACTGCCTTTAAGGAAACTAGCCGCTGCGGCTCCCAGCACCGTCTCCTTGGAAAACCCGTTGCTCGCAAACGCCAAGCACCTGCCACGCGTGGCTTAACTTATCTTGTCATCTTTCCGGGACGGCCCTCGGTGATGCTTGACACAACGCTGCAATCGGCACCAGGCTTCGAATCCATCAACCCCGCGCATACCACGCCGAAAGAGGTAGGCATTCGCAGGCCAGCCTGGATTGCGACGAAAAGCCACCGCGGAAATGGAGCTAACCACCGTACACTCCGCACGTTCTGCTCGGAGCACATGAGCACATGAGACTGTGCAAGAGAGCATGCAGAGAGAGAGCGTCCCTTGCTTGCTGTCCTGGGTCACCAGCTGACTGATATGTCAGCTTCTCCATTTCCGCCGGAGAATGTCTGCGCATCGCAGATGGGTATTCCATGTGATGTGTCCGCAGTAGCACAAAACAGAAGAGGCTCCAGAATGATCGGTGCGAACTTTGCAGGGCCTGAGAAAAGTGTTGAGCGGTGTCTCCAAGTCTACTTGTGGTTCAGGTGCTGACCTCAGGCGCAGGCGGCTTCCTGTAGGCAACAGCCAGCAGTCCTTTCCTTCAGTGAGAGTCACATTAAGCCATGACATTGGCAACAACGATCTGGCGGCAATCCTGCTGGTCTTGCCCCGCACCGTGAGCCTCTAAATCAGCAGGACTCCGACATCCAGCAAGACTGCGAACAGTACAGCTGACCGCCACTTGAAGGAGGGCACCTTGACATGTTGCTATGACGCTTTGGCGCAAGGTTTCAAACACCTGGCCATTCGGCAACGAACCTCACTGTGGACAAGGAGTGGCGGACGTGGCTAACGAGCGACCTTCGCCGGAAAGTAGGTGAACGTCGTGCCGCTGTCTACGACAGTACGTCCGGTGAATTCCTGGAAGGAAAGCCCGGGATCCGTTGCCACAGCGGCCATGCAATTCGATGCAGTCCGCCTCCGAGTTGGCCACAACATGAGTTCCAAACCTGTGTGCCATCAGTCGGGATCTTGGCACAGCTTGGAACTTCCGCAATGCAAGACAGCCACGTTTCAAACAGGAGAGCAAGGCTGAATTGATCTCAAATCCACGCCGTAGTACCTGTCATTATATAGCCTACAACCTACACCCTTGCACCTCAATTACATAGTGCTCAGGCCAGGGGCACTGCCAGCATGCAATATACTGCTGCTGTATCATCAACCAACATAGATGTAGGTATTCACTATGTGCGTATGTGAATATGGTATAATAAAATATAATATCATATAATAGAATAGAATAGAATAGAATAGATATAATATAATGTAATATAATTGCGTGGGGGATTGATCTCGACTAGGTTGCTGCTCTCCCCACCAGAGCTGTAATGAATGTAGGTGTGGCTGGCTTGCACTCTCCACAGACTGGACCCTGTCTCTCTCACACTTCCACACGTGCAATCCTATGCAGGCAGAACCGGCGGCCGTTCCTTTTGCACTCACTGCCGGCGGCGGTTCGTCTGTGCAAACGGGATAGCTCTGA